TGCATGCTTAAATCCTGAGATGTTCATGGCGCCTTAGAGTAATGAATTATACTCGGTTGCATGCCTAGTAGTTTATAGATATTAAAGATTAAAAATTTAAGATTAAAGTTGAGTAGCACCCCGTGTTTAAAATTAAAGTATTTTCGAAAAATTAATATGAGTTTTCGAAAATTAAAGCAGTGCTTTCCATTTATAGCGCGAAAAATTTACTCTGATTTTAGTAAGTTTAGGCGGGGTGTTACAGTATTTTAGCGCACAATCGCACAGATCAGAAACATCTTTGCCGAAGTCTCACATCTTCTGAAGCTCATCATTCAATATATCCATACAATAATGCGAGACTCGCAGTTTCAACTGCACGAAAGGGAATCCCCTGTAGCCCGTACTCATCCTGAGTCTCGAAGACCCCAGCGTCTCCCTGGTAATACATAACATTAAATTATATTTAATATATAATAAATGAAAAACACAAAAAACGAAAAAAAAGCAAAAAAAAAAAAAATAATAAACTTAAAGACGAAATAAATACTACATATTTTTTTATAAAGCGAAAAAAAATAATTAATGCATATATATTATATATTTAATATATATTAAATAAATATATATCTATATATATTTTAGATATATATTTTTTAAAAACCGAAATAGATACTACATATTTTTTTATAATTAATGCATTAATAACAAACACAGTCTGACTGTAAAACTTAAAGAATATACCTGACTTTAGTCAGTTGAGACTCAATCTCCTTGTCAATCTTCTCCCAAACCGTGTCGAGCGAACCAGTTGACGTTTCAAGCCACCGCTTCAACGTAGCGTGGGAACTCTCTACCCTACACGACGTTGTGTTGCCAAAATGTAAGACAGTGTCCGTCCACACTTTGACAAACTTCTCCTTTTGCACTAGCCATGTCTTATCCACATAATCCAGCACACGAGGAAACGCCGCGTATGTAACAACCATATCTTCTACAGCAGTTTTGTATTTCTCCCACGTGTTCGCCTTGACAACCTTCTTCCACTTGCCGTGCGTGAACTTCTGCGCGAAGATCTTATTTTTGGACGTCAGCCGATAGACCTTGTCTTCCACGTCCTTGTTGATGTGCCACGTGCAGAGTAAGTGGGGCGTCGTTGGGAAATTCCTCTGAATAGGAGTAATCAACCCCGACTCCCGATCACTGACAATGACTGAAGGTTGTTTATTAGACTCTATCATCAGTCTCAACCGCTGTAGGACCCAGTCATAGCTATACTCGGTCTCGTCCTTCACAATTGCATAAGCAATTAAGAAGTTCTTGTTGCACGGCGTCATTCCAATCATCTCAACCAACGACATGTGGTACCTGTGCAAATCAAAATCGTAAACAATTTCGAATCATTAACACTATTTAATTAAAATGTGAATAAAAATCGTAAACAATTTCGAATGTTTGTCTCAAAAACAATATTTAATTAAACTATCATGTAATAATATTTGACCGATTTATGTTTTTACAGATTTTATTGATTTTTTAATACAATCTTATTATATTTATTTCCTTTTTGTTTTGTAACAACATTAACCGAAGTTTTTTTTAAGAATCTCGGACAACTGAAGCCGCAATTGTTGACAATTTCATTCTTTTTTTTTTTAAATTTTTATTCAAATATCCTTTCTTACAACCAATCCAAAATTATAAGAAAATCTGGGACATGCAATTTCAAATTTTATTTTGACCGATTAATTACTAAATCATTTTATATTTATATAGATTTATAAAGTAATGTAACATACCTGTTGGTTTTGTACGTGGAATCTATACCGACATACCAATAATATGTTCGGAATAGACTGGCTGCTCGTGGATGCGACATGAACACACGTGTCAATGCCTGTGTGTTCTAGTCAACGTCTGTGTAAACTATGTAGTTGATGTCGGTAGCCAAATGCAGAAGCTGGCCAGCAATATCTCGACCCCTTAGACGGTCTTTTCGCAATCGAGCTTTATAGTTATAAACTTGTTGGCAAGTAGCGTTGTCCACATGGTTTTTCTCCTGAATTGCAGCCAAAATTGCTTCCGGTATTGCCTGAGCATCACTCATGTCACGGATAATCTCTTTGGATGAATCGCTGAGTCTGCTGATCTGTCGATGACCCTCGGGATACACAGTCAACGCATGATTATGATATCCCTTCTCGTCTTCTAAAGGAAGCCAGATACACCATTTTTGGGATACCTTTTCAAATTTCACATTTAACTGAAAAAGACAGCCAGTATATTTCATCTTCGAACGTCTCAAGACAACATTCACTAAATTTCCTAGTTTTCCTGCCTTGCCCCTGTAACGTTCCCCTCGATCACACCTCAACGTCCGAACCGTTCCATCCTTATTGTGTCTCGAGATGACCAAGTGGAAACCCCATATTATTGGAATGTCTTTTCCCCATTCAATATCTTTGTCGGGATTATCAAATAACTCATCTGTAGCGAAACAAGCTCGGTAATCTTCACCGTCTCCTCCAAAATCTTCGAGTGGCACCTGCAATATGTTAC